CTCCCACATGTCCACCTGCCAGAAGTCCTCCTAGTACTGGGTGCCCTCTGGACAGTGATCTCCTCATGGTTCTAGAACTTGCGGATTTGGAAGTCACAGCACTGAAAGAACCAGCCCCTAGGACCCAGGTGAGCTTCCTGAGCATAGAATGGGCAGAGCTGCCCTACAGGTGCTCCGTCCAGTCTCTCACCACCCCGACTCCACAGCTGACTTCAAGTGGCCCCAAAGGCCTGAACCAGGACACCCCAAGCAAGGGGCCGGGAGACAGAAGTAAGTCCTAATAGCCTTAGGGCTTGTCTAGCCACACAGTGTGCACTCCCAGAGGAGGTGAGTGGCCAGTGACTGGGAGGTGTCCAAGGGGGCTGACACTGGGGGAGGCGGCACAGAAGGGGCACTCCGCTCCTCGACTCTCTCTCTCCTGGGAGAACCAAAGGCCCATGTGGAGGCGGGAGGATGTGTAGGCAGGGGTATGCCCAGCCCCACCCTCCTGTCTCCCTGGTACCCACGCCTGAGGTGCTGGCAAGGGAGGTGAGGAGGGCACCCCTGCTGCAGCGGAGGCACCCACAACCCCAAGGCTCACCTCCACACCTGCAACCCAGGGCGCCCCTCCACTCTGACAGCACACAGCCCCAGCTGCGGCCATCACCAGTTGCCTCTCAAAGGCAGGGGAAGGTGGGCTGCAGGGAGAAGCCCCCAGCCTTCTCCAAGTCCACACACAAGCTCTACCCAGCCCAGTGGCATAGGAAAGCCTGGGCCTGGGGGCTGGTGGGGGTTCAATTTCCAGGGCTGTCACTTCCTAGGTTCCTGACCTCCGGGCGAGCCACTTGGCCACCTGGAAGCCAGGGAGGATTTGTGCGGCCCGGCTCTCAGCCCCGGCGTCCCTCTGGCAGGGCCTCTGCTGTGCCTCAGCCCACACCCCCAAGTCAGTGCCGAGGGGGGCGCCTTCAGGGCGTGAGGGGAGCGGGACCTGACCCAGAGAGAGAGGGGGGTGGGGGGCGCTGAACTTTCGAACCCGCAAACCCCCCGCGCCGTTCATTACCTTAACGCGAGTTAAAAATAACCGTCTCATCTCTTTAAATTAGTCTGTCTGCAATTACCGCCTGGCACGGCGCTGCCCGCCATCGTCCCGCTGGAGCGGCGCCAGGTGGCAGGCGGGGCCTCACCCCGCCTGTCTGTCTGTCGGTCTGTGGGCTGCCCTCCCTCCAGGTCCCCCCTCCCCTGCGCAGAGCGCTCAGTCCGGGGGCCCTCCCAGCAGCCCCACCCCCCAGCGCCCCAAGTTGCTGGCGGTGAGGCGGAGCAGAGGAGCGTGGAGGGGGGCGGGGGGGGGCGGGGGTGTCCGCAGGGCGGAGGACTGGGGAGGGGGCGCTGAGGCAGGCGGCGGGGGAGGGGCGCGGGAGGCCCAGGAAGCCGGAAGGGCCCACAGCGCGCCAGCGCCCGTGGGTGGGTGTGAGCAGGTGGCCGTGGGAGTCTGCCGGGCGTGCCAGCAACTGTGCCAGGAGCGGCTGGCACGGGCTCGTGCCCAGGAGGCGGGCAGCTGCCAGCCCCCGGCTCGTGCAGTGAGGAGGGTGAGGACACCCCCCAGCCGGGCTCACACCGCCTCCTCCCGCACCCCCACCAGCCCTTGGGGCTGGGGATCCCCGGAGGACAAAGGAGGAGGATGGAGCCCTGCTGGAGCAGCAGGGGTGGCTTTGGAGAGAGGGGGGCTGAAGTGGGACCCTGCGCCTGGCCTGCACATCAGCCCTCCCACCTGGCCCCCAACCACGGAACTTACTGGGCCAGATGGGGGTTGCACCCCCTCTGCTCCAGGGCTTGAGGGAGAAGGGAAGTCCCCATACACCACGCTCCTCCCCACCCAGCCTGGGGACAGGAACCAGAGTCACCTGGGCCAGGCCTGGGAGCTCCCCATGGAGCTGGCAGCCAGGAAACACAAAAGCGGGCAAAGCAACCGCAGGGGCACTACACGGAAGGGCACAGGTGGCTTTCCTGAGGCCAGGGCAGGGGAAAGTGGGGCTGCAGCATCTTAGGGAAAGTGGGAGGCTCCACCCAGACAGCCATGCTCTTGGGACCTGCAGTGGGAGGGTAACCTGCTGTCCAAGCCCTGAGCCTCCGCATGGAGACCCTCTGTCCCAAGGGCAACAGGCCGGTTCCCTTTGACAGGCTGCCCAGGACTGAGTCCAGCCTCTCTTTGGGCCACAGACTGCTCCAGGCGTCTTGAGCCTCCTGCGGGCCTCGCCTCCTCCACTCCGTCACCAGCCTGGCTGCACTACCTCACCACATGGTAGATGAGACCACAGGGCACAGGCCAGGCATGCTGGCCTTCCCCGATCCGACCCGCTCCACCTTTCCCAAGCCACCTCCCGGCCACGCCTCGGAGCCTGGCACACCCAAACCATCCCCCAGATCCAACATGCACAATTCCACCCTGCCTGCAGTCAACACCTCCCCGGTTCTCTCCGCCCCAGTGCAGGCAGCTGGCAGCTCAGAGCAAGCGCCAGCCCCTCTGTGAAGGTCCCCAGCTCCCCAGGACATCTAGCCCACCTTCCCAGCACCCGTGCCCCCATGCCCAGCCTCTCTGGTCTGCAAACCACAGGGCCTGGGGGTGGGGACTGGCTGAACCCTGAAGGCGGGTCCAATGCCTTCCCCTACTAGTTCCCCCACCCTATTTAGCATGGGGTTTGGTAAACCCCAGGGATTCAAGTGCAACACTGTTGTGGGGGAGGGGTGGGGGAAGGCACAATGGACCTGGCGCCAGCCCTGGCACCTGGGGTGTCCTCAGCCCTGGTCCTCCAGAGATTAGCTGGGAGTTGCAGACGGCCCCTCCCCCAGACCCCTGGAGGAACTCCCTGGGGATGGGGGAGGGGTCCAGGGGCAGGAAGCTCCAGGAAGGAGAGGAAGGAGGCTCTCTGGGGGAGCTGGCGGAGGGGTGGGGTAGACAGGCCAGTGCTTGGGTGGTCTCAGCAGGGACTAGGTCAGGAGCCCAAGCCTGCCCTGAGTCTTCAATGCCTCTGCCCAAAGCTGGGAGTACAGGCCCAGGGACAGCCAGCATGTCCCCAGCAGTGTGGTGCAGTGGGAGCCGCATCCACCAGGCAGGCTTGGAGACCTGGGCCCGGTCCAAGGCCCGCGGCTCCCTGATGCCCTGAGAAGGGCCTCGGTCTCTCCACGTGAGAAACCAGCTCACGGCGCTACATCATTCCCCAGCACGCTCCCGGCCACGCTGTGGGACTTATGCCTGCCCCAGTTCATGGGCCGTCAGCGCCCCCTGCGCCCGCAGCTGCCAGCTGGACTCTGCTCCAGAGATTCCATGGGCCCGGGGGTGGGGGTGGGGGAACATCCCCAGGTGGCAGGTGGGGGTCCAGCCTCCCAGTCCAGCACGGTGGGAGCTGTGGCAGGTCACGCCTCCACTCTGGGCCTCAGTGCCCTTCTCTAAAGCCCAGCCCTGGACCCTGAGAACACGAAACACGTGGGAGGTACCCAGCACAGAGCTCAGCCAGACAGCCTCAGTGACCCCACTTCTCTCGGGGTCTCTTGCCGCAAATGCCCTTCTCCCATCTGCCCCCAACCTCCCTAACCCACCAAGCCCAGCTGAAACTCGGAAGCCCTCCTGGCCTATTCTGGCCTCACACCTCCAGCACCAGTCACTCATACCAGACCTGTACCAGTGGCTTCTCAGTGCCAGGTGCTATGCTGAGTTCTGTGGGCACAGGGTAGGGAGGGAAAAATGAGACAAGACACAGACGACTAGACACACCACAGGCACGAAGCAGGCCAGAGAAGGGGAAGTCCTAAGCTAAAAAGGATTAAGGAAGGCTTCCTGGAGGAGGCATCTGATTTGGCACCCTTTAGGACAGTGAGTGCCTCTACAGTGAAGAGTGCAAGGCAGGCCAGGGAATGGAGTGCAGGGAAAGAGGTGGGAGCAGAATGCCAGGGCCCCCCGACCCCCACGAGGCTGCCATGGGCTCCTAGAGCTGCCCATGTCCACAAGGCCCCCTCCCCCAGGGGCACACCTCCTTCCTCTGACCAGGCTGGGCTTGCAGGCACCACTGGGCATGCCCCCCACCGCCTCCCTCACAGAGGCCCCCCTTTCCCACAGACCCCCTCAACCTCCCCCTCTCCAAAGGCACCTGCTGCACCCACTCTCCAGCAACACAGCCAGAGGGGCAGCTGGGTCCCCAGGCCTCTGGGCCTGTCCTCGCCCAAAATGGCTCCCCCACCTTCCACTGGCTGGCGGGGAAGTGTCCCAGAGGTCCCCCTGCGCCTCCCCCAACCCTTAAATGCAGCTGGGCTCAGGAAGCCAGAGAAGTGGAAGACGGGCAGCCTGGAGTGAGCGGGGACAGATCCCCAGCCCTCAGCACCCTAGTCTCTTGCCAACAGTGGTCATCACCAGGTCCCCCCCAATGCGGATCCAGGGTAGAGGGTGCTGGGCAGCTGGCCCACCCGAACTTGCACCACCTGCCCGAGTTCCTACCCAGGTGGGTGGGTGCTTCAGAGTGAACTCCTGGCACCCACAGAAGAACTGGGCCCGCGGTCCGCGGTCTCTGCACTCCTCACCCTGGGGCCAGCTCCAGAACAGGCAGTGGGGGAGATCTGGGAGGGAGAGCGCCTGGCCCCAAGTCACTATGCCAGCTTTTCAAGGAGAGTGTCGGGGTGCAGTGGGCAAAACACGGGGAACCCGAAGCAAACTCGGGAGCCCCGCCGGCTCCCCAGTGCCCCACAGCCTGGGAATGGGTTCCTCTGTTACTCCCAAGAACCGGGATGTTCCTCAGGACCTCACAGCGGCTGCCCCGTCACCCCACCAGAGCTCCCGCCGGCATCCTTCCCCGCAAGGGGGCACGCACCAGCCACTGCCAGCACGCCCCCGCCTGTCCGCGCCAGCCCCACGCCCTAGGCGCGCACTTCGTGACCCCCGAGGGCGCTCCAGGGCGCCCCTCCCGCCTGTCTGCCCCGGGCCCAGGGGCGCCTAGCAGCGTCCCCAGGCCTCCTCCCCAGCCGGACGCCCCCACCTTCCAGCCGGCCGAGCTGTTGCTGTCGCCTTTATCCTTGAAGTAGGGCACGTAGCGGACCATCCAGTCGTAGATCTGCGAGAGCGTGAGCCGCTTGTCCGGGGCGCTCTCGATGGCTTTGGTGATGAGGTCGGCATAGGACAGGTTCCCCCACGCGTTCCGCCGGGAGCTCTTCGCTTTCCGCAGCGGTCCGACCTCCGCGCCCAGCGGCGGCGCTGGGGCCATCGCCGGGGCCGTCGCCCGGCGCTCCGGCCCGCAGTCCTCGGCGCCCTCAGCCACCCCTGCGCCCAGCGCTCCGTCCTCGTCGCCGGCCAAGTCGGGCTGCGGCAGGGGCCAGGTACACGAGCGCGGCCGGCTCTGCGGCGCGAAGTCCGGGTCCACGTCCACCTGATGCGCTCGCAGCTTCGCAGCCATGGTCCCGCCCGGCTCGGGCGAGGAAGGGAGGGAGGCTCCGCGGAGGGTGGGCGGGCAGCTCCGGGATCTGCGCGCCCCGGGGAGGCCCGCGGGAGGGGTCCCTGGCGGCGCCGGCTCAACCGCGGGGCGCCATGGGCCGGGGCGCCGAGGCAGGGGGCTGGACGCGCTGGCGAGCACGAAGCGAGGGAAAGACCCGGGCAGTGAGGGGGCGGCGGCCCCGGTGCCCAGCGGGCACGCACCTCGCCCAGCCCCGCTTCTAGCACCTGCCGCCTGCCTGCGCCTGCAGCCACCACCGCCACCTCCGCTGCCGCCGCTCCCCGGGCGCTGGCCCCGCGCGCGGGCCCCGCTCTCCCGGGACGAGGCCGGATTGCACCATGCCGGAGCCCGCGCCCGTGTCGGAGCCCGCGCCGCCGCCGCCGCCCCGTGAATGCCGCCGCCGCTCCGGCTCCAGCGCCCGCTCCCGCGCCTGCCGCGCTCAGCGCCGGCTGCACCTCGGGATGGGCGGGGGACGGGGAGGGGGCGGGCCCCGCGCGGGAGGGGGCGGGGCTTGCTCGCCGGCGGCCGCGGAGTCCTCTGCCCGACTGGGTGCCCCGCCTGCGGGCGAGGGGTGGGTGCGCGGAGCTCCCTGCTCCGGGCAACCCAGCCGCAGCCCCTGGACGCAACAGCGCCGCCTACGGAGCAGGGGAGGAGTGGCGGGCGCGACCCCGCCCCCTGCTCGGCGCTCGGGGAGGGGGGTGCGGGGGCGGGGGCCTCCGTGCTCCCATTGGTCCGCGGCGGCACTGTCCCGCCCACAGACTTGCCGAGGCCCCTCCTCGGAGCGCGTCAGCGGGTTATTGTTACAACCCGGGGTTTCCCGGGGCAACGGCGAGGGGCGGGGCTCTGATCTCTTGCCCCGCCCACTACCCCGGGAGGATTGCCCCGCCCTCCGCTTCTAGACCCCTGATGTTTCCGCATCTCGGTTCCAGGAACCTGACGGACAGACGGGATGCAGGAACGCACTCCTCTCTGTGCCCTAAGCTGAGCTAGGGAAAAGGAGAGGGGCAAGAATACCTGGGTTCTAGGCCGGACTTAGCCAGGATTCTAGGTTTTCCATCTGCAAGTGGGGTCTTCATGGGCTCTTATGGTGGCCGTGGTCATAGCTGGAGCGCCCTTGCTCTCGGAGTGGAGCGTGCGGCAGAACAGCCCCGGAGAGCTTGTTAGAAGCATTGCGTGTGGATCTGGGCCGGGGCCGCCGCTGCGTTTCCAGCTAGCTCACTGAGCACACTTTGCAGGGAGCACACTTTGCAAAGCACTGCTTTAGAGTCTTTGGGAGGTTCTCCTGTTGGTCCCGAAGTTCAGTGTTGGGAGAGTGCTTCTCAGTCATTGCTGACCGCCTTTGATGCACCTGCCAGGCGCTGTCCAGGCACATGGCAGGAGCAGCGACTAAGACAAATGAGGTCCATGCTGCACAGACTACTCACATCCTCACGTGGCCTCAGGAGGCAGAGGCCAGCTGAGAGCCCACAGGGTGCTAGGCTGGGTCCCCCAGCCCCACTGCACCTGCCAGCCTTGATCTGGGGTAAAGCCTCTGCCTACAACACCCTTTCCCTTCCTCAAGGCTCTTGTGGGAGAGACTCCTTCTTCCAAGCTCAGCGCACATGTCCACCCAACCCTGGCATCTTGTCTAATCCCAGGCCCCAGCACACATCTCTGTTCTCAGCATGTCACAAGCTGGAGCCCCGTTGGCCAGTTTTGCCAATCTTCAGCCAAGGTCTGGAATGGGGAGGTGACTTGCCCAGACGGTGTGGGCAGGCCTGGAATCCCCAGCTCCCGACTCCCTTGCCAGTTGGTGCCTTGCTTGGTCGAGGGGCTGCAGAGCCACTGGAGATGCGGTGGGAGGGCCCAGCCCAACGCGTGGGAGACAGCCCCTCTCTCGCAAATGCTTGCCTTATGGCCTAGGACGGAGGAGTGGTGCCAAGAGGGGGAAGGGGGTGGGGGCACGGAGGCCCCCTCCTTGCCTGCCCCCCCCCAGGGTGGGAACAGGCCCAGCTTACAGATGCCTGGCGTGGCATCTGCCTGACTCACATCCGGAAGGCAAGGGTGGTCGCAGAAACTGTTGGCTGCACCCCTTTCCCCTTATGCACATATACACGCCCTCCAGGTGGTTCTGTTTAGAGTCACACGACCCCCTCCCACAGCCCTCCTGGGCCCTCCCTGCCAGGGGCAGCCACACTGGGGGCTGCATCCTAAGGTACTCTGGAGACTGAGGGGCCTCCCGGCGGACTTCAGCCTGGGTCTCACTCTGAGCTATGGGACAGGCCTGCCGGCGGCCGCACCCAAGTGGGGAGGATCCTGTGCTGGGGGCCCTGGCACAGGCTGCCACTGCGAGGCTGCGAAGCCAGGTTGGCAGAGATGTCCTAGAAGCTGACTCAGGCTCTGCCCGGGTCTGCCCCGCCCAGCATCCACAGCTGCTGCCTGGACTCTCCTGTGGGGCCCATGTCTGGCACTCCTAGCCCACACACACACACACACACACTCAAACACTCCCTGGTGCACACTGACATTTTTCCCTCATGGCTCAGCCCCTGCTCACACACATTCTTTATGAGGCAGTATAACAGTGATCGGGAGCAGGGGCAAGTTCCCCACCTGCTCAAAGCCACTGTTTCCTACTCTACGAGTGGGTATCAGGATAACACCACCTTCAGCGGACGATTAAAGAATTAAATACGGGGGCTGGCGCTGTGGCGTAGCAGGTAAAGCCGCCACCTGCAGTGCCGGCATCTCCTATGGGTGCCAGTTGGAGTCCTGGCTGCTCCACTTCCCATCCAGCTCCCTGCTAATGTGCCTGGGGAAGCAGAGGAAGATGGCCCAAGTGCTTGGTCCCCTGCACCCACATGGGAGACCCAGAAGACCCACGTGGACTGGCCCAGCTCCAGCTGTTGTGGCCATTTGGGGAGTGAACCAGCAAATGGAAGATCTTTCTCTCTGTCTTCTTTGTCTTTCCCTCTCTCTCTCTAACTCTGCCTTTCAAATAAATAAATAAATCTTTTTTTAGAAAAATAAGAAATCCGATTCTGAAAGTCAGCAGCAGGCTGAGAATAAGTGCCTGGTAGACTGGCTGCTCCTCTGCAGTGTGTCCATGCACACACGCACCTCCCCTTCCCCCGGTGCACACGGCTCTGCCTGTTCTCATGGTGCACGCACAGTGCCCTGTGCCTTCCACGCACGTCCCGAGTACACAGACCCTCACCTCCCTACTTGACTACCTACTCCCCGCTCCCAGGCAGCTTCCCCACCACTCCCACATTCACGCGCTGCTCAGCAGGTCCCGCCCGGCTTACACTTTCTTTTTTTTTTTTTTTTTTTTTTGACAGGCAGAGTGGACAGTGAGAGAGACAGTGAGAGAGAAGAGACAGAGAGGAAAGGTCTTCCTTTGCCGTTGGTTCACCCTCCAATGGCCGCCGCGGCCGGCGCGCTGCGGCCGGCGCACCGCGCTGATGCGATGGCAGGAGCCAGGAGCCAGGTGCTTTTCCTGGTCTCCCATGGGGTGCAGGGCCCAAGCACCTGGGCCATCCTCCACTGCACTCCCGGGCCACAGCAGAGAGCTGGCCTGGAAGAGGGGCAACCGGGACAGAATCCGGCGCCCCGACCGGGACTAGAACCCGGTGTGCCGGCGCCGCTAGGCGGAGGATTAGCCTAGTGAGCCGCGGCGCCGGCCCCGGCTTACACTTTCATTCCTTCTTCCTCCACACTGCTTCTACTCACACAGTCCTGGGCACCCAACACACATTCCAGTGCACACATACTCGCTTGCTCACACCCTAAGGCCAGCAGGGACATTGGGGTATGTGCGGGATTGGAGTTCTGGGATCCAAGGAGGAGCTGAGTGGGGGAAGCACATGTCCTAAGAGGGTGAGCATACAGCACCCAGCCCTCCCACCCACGCATGCTGCTATGGGCAGACACCCCCTACCCGGGGCCAGCAGGATCTGCCTCCTCCCTGCTGCTTCCTCCTCCAGGCTGAGCTCCAGCCCCTCCCAGCTCTCAGAATAACCCCTGCCACCACTGCGGCCGCTGCCACTGCTGAGCTGTCAGGGCCCGCAGTGCCCGCTTCCCCAGCGCTCGGTGCCAGCTCTCAGGCTCAATCCGGGCAAGTGAGGACAGGAGAACAGGCTCTCGCTGAGATCTGACGGCTGTAGCTGCATTGCACCCCCAAAGGCTTCCTCCAGAGCCCATCTGGAAGACAGCTCCCAGGACTGGCGGCTGCTGCTCTCACAGGATGTGCCTGTGTCCCCGATCCTCATGCCCCTCCCCCCACCATGACAGCAGTCGAGGCTGCCTCTCCTCCATGTGCACAGAGAGGGTCTGGGCAGCAAGAGGTCCCCTGGAGGCGGCATGGCACGTTAGGAGCAGAGCCAGACTGTGACCACCTTACTGGCCCGCACCCTGCGTGGGGAGTTGGGGAGGACCCCTCCCCAAATGACATGGCTCTCGGAAGCCCCCAGCCTGCCTGTGCTGGGCAGAGCCTGGCTGACATTTGATGCCACAGTTGTCAGGAAAAAAAGAATAGCACAGGGGTGATGTCTGGGGACACCTCTGGCAGGGAGGGGGCGGGGCTGGGTGCCCAGAGAGGCCTCCCGGGGGCGGAAAGGGGAGTGTCTGCAGAAGCCAGAGGGGATATTAGGACAGCTGGGAGCGCCTCCAGGGCAGGCTCAGGCCTGGCCCAGACAGGGACAGTGTCAGGAAGTGGGTGGGGCCGGGTGGAGGGGCCAGGGCTGCAAGGAGGGCTCCTTCGGCAGCCTCCCCACACCATGCCCCAGGTGGAGTTCTGTGGGAGGGCTTTCCTGAGGCAGCTGGGTGCCCAAGGACCCGGGGCCTAGCGTCTTCCTTGGCCGGGGGCTGTGCCACCACCCCAGGAGTAGAGCATTAGTGCCAGAAGAGGCTCCTCCTGGGAGCCGAGCCAGCTCTGCACGTGGGCCCATGGAAGCTGCATGGAGCTCTTACCAGGTGCGGTCCCTGCGGAGCACCTGCCAGGGGCGACCCAGTAGAATCGGCTCCCTGAGAGCAAGAACCCGCAGGTCTTCCTGCTGTGTCTCCAGGGCCTAGGGCCCCATCAGCGCAGGGAGACCTTCAGGAAGATTTGTTAAATGAAGAAATGAACTCATTTCATTCTCACAACTCCCAGCAAGAGTATCTTATAAGATACTCTCTTTTTCATTTTCTGGATTAAGAAAGTGAGACCCAGAGAAAGAGAGGGGAGAAGCTGCTTCCCTGGGAGTCTGAGTCTTCTCCTTGCTTCACACCTAGGAGCGAGGGGAAAATGAACTTGGGGCCGATGGCTTCCCTTCACGGAGTGCCTCCGTTTCATCACCTGTGAAATGGGCATGGTTATGCGCCCCTGGGGGAAGGGAATGATCAAGGTCTCTCCTAGCTGAGGGGCCCAGAAGATGTCGACAAAGGTATGTGGCCGTCATCTTCCTCCTGTGCCCTGAGATCTGAATCTCAGCAGGACTACCCCTGGGCCCCACGCTGTCTGTTCGTCAGTCCTCTTCCAGTGCCCAGGGAAGGGGGATAGGCTTTTGCTAAGGTTGCTGTCACACCAGCTGGTCAGCTTGCAAGAGCAGGACTCCCTGTCTCACGTCCTGGAGACGAGGAGTCTGAAGCAGGTGCTGGTAGGACCCTGTTCCTCTGAAGCTGGGCA